CCCGCCCCCCCCCCAGACACACGCGCGCGCACATATACACACTCACGTATCGAGACATTGGTGACCACACAGCGTGGAAACTGTATTCTCAGGCACTCCAGGGGAAAATACCCACCCGCCCCGTCACCCCCCCCAGTTCCAAAGCTGGCAGCGCCCCCGTCCCTGGCCAGGAGCAGCTCAAAGCAGGGGTCCCAGGCGGAGGTGAGGGCAGCAACCCAAACCAGCACCCAAAAGGCCAGAGGATGGACAGCAGGGCTCCTCCGGCCACCACCATCCTCCGTCTCCTTGTTTTTTTTTCTTGCTTTCGCTCCCTTCGATGGCAGTGCTGCGCTCCCTCCCCCTCGGCCAGGGCTGGGGGAGGTGCTTTGCCCCTTTCTCCCCATTCCCTTGGTGGCCGACCAACCCTCCAGTTGGGGGGGGTGTGTGTGCCACTCTGCTTCCCTCTGCCTCGAAAGCCTGACTCCCCTTGGGCAGCCCTGCCCAAACAGGCAGCAGAGGCAGGGGAAGGGGTGGAGGAGGGGAAAAAAAACGCTGACCCTCCGCCATCCTCCTTCGGCCTCCCCGGGGCTGCGCTTGAAAAACCAGGGCGGCAGAAGAGGGGATGGGGCCAGCAGGGAAGATGCTTACGGCCATTTGGAGTACGGGCTCACAAAACCAGACAGTGGGGCGCTAGAAATAAATAAGGAAAGGGGATGTGCTTGGGGGATGCCCACACGCTGGCATCCCACCAAGGCCGGACCGTGCTTGGGGCGGACAGAGTTCTCCTTCCCACTCCCCGTTGGGGCTGACAAGGCGGGGACCCTTGCTGTACCGGAGACACCTGTGGATACGGCGAGGTCCTCCTGAAACAGAAGCGGGGCAAGGCGAGACCCGGGGGCAGGTGTGCCGGAAGGGGGGACAAGCTGCACTGCCGGCATGAGGGCAAGAGGGAGGCTGCTAGGGCCACAACCCTCCATCCCGGGACACCAGCACGGGGGGGTTGAGCATTGCTCCGATGCAGCGGCAAGGCTCGGCGGGCCGGGGAGGGAGAAAGGGGCTTCCCACTGTCTC